TGCAAAATCGTGCATGGAGGACAGTTGAAAAACTCGTTCGAGGTAAAGACCGGTTTCAGGCAAGGTTGCTTACTCTCACCCTTTCTCTTTCTCCTGGTGATCGACTGGATCATGAAGACGTCAACATCTGAAGGGAAGCACGGGATACAATGGACATCTAGGATGCAGTTGGACGATCTAGACTTCGCAGATGATCTGGCCCTTCTATCCCAAACGCAACAACAAATGCAGGAGAAAACGACCAGTGTGGCAGCAGCCTCAGCAGCAGTAGGTCTCAATATACACAAAGGGAAAAGCAGGATTCTCCGATACAACACAGAATGCACCAATCCAATCACAATTGACGGAGAAGTGTTATATCCGAGTGGAGATTAAATTACAGGTAACTTCCGAGGACAATTCATGGACTAATATTTTATAAATATTCTTATTGTATAACTACTCAACAATTACACTATGTATATTTATATCCCTCTTATGACAAGCTTTATTTTGGCCTATAATTTATTATTGTACGATTTACGGTTCTTAAGTTATGTTCAGTTTATTAACTACTGCCTCCCACACTCACAGCCACTTTTTGGGCTTATTTGTGTACAAATATTATTTCCTATTTTATGGTACGTTGCGGTCTGTGTGATTGATATATAAACCAAGTATGCCTGAAATAAACGATCTGCTCTGATTCGGAAGCTGGTATCTTGTTCTGGACTCAAGTGGAAGGGCTCGTAGGACATAGGACCAATAAGGACACTAAACTGCCCACACCGGTTGAACGTCATTGGTTGGCCTAGTGTGAAGATTCGTATAAGTCGTATTCGGATTGGTAGATAAGTCGTGTGACAGAAAAACCAGACACCCAAGGTCATAACAATTGGCGACGGGGATTTTAGCAAAAACAAAATAATTGGGAGACGCAAGGTCATAACAATTGGCGACGGGGATTTTGGCAACAAAAAAATAATAATAATACAAGTGGTGACTCAGATTTTGGAAATAGATCAGCTGTATAATTGCCGGTGATTTTTGGAGCTAATATTATTGGCAAAAAAAAATGTCGATTTCTTTCGAACAGTTGCGGTTAATATTACAGCACCAGCAGAAGATGTTTGCCTTGCAACAACAGCTATTTGTAACAGTTTTGGGCAGACTTTGCATTCAAGCAGAAAATAAGAAATCTATATATCATGCAGATAATGGTGCAGTAATGGACATTTCAGAAGCATATCCTGTGCAGGATTCAAATCCCTCTATACCAGAAGGAAAACGTAATATTGGTAACGTGTCCAGCTCAGAGCAGGAAAATATTGTGCTAAATGCACATGAAGTTGTGACAATACCAGATGATCAGGAGCCAGATCCTGTAGATGATGCCCAGAGTCCAGAATCAAATGAAACACTACTGGTACTGTCTAGCTGCGAAAATAAACGTCAGCTCGAACAAAATTGTGGTCCACGTGCTACTAGTCGAGAAAGCTATGGTGACTCGTATTCAGAAAATAACTGGAGCAACACGATGAACCAAATTGTACCAGATGTTACTCAAAATCACCGGAAGACAGAATTTTATATTGAGTCAACTTATCCCATTTCTAATGACAGTGTGCCAGATATTGATTCTCAGAATAATGCATATGATTTTGATGAAACTTCTTATAACAATGAGGGAAATATGTCAGCTGAGTCGAATGATGGCCAAAAATCTAATTTAATTCTGTTAGACGTTGACTTTCTTAATGACTCGTTATCTGCTAACGAGATTCATAATGAATTTGAAAATAATGAACTCAGATCAAAGGTCGTTCATCATCATCTAGTCATTTTTAGTGGCTTCTCCAGTCAATACGAGAAACATGGTTTAAATAAAGTCCTACTAGTTGTATTTTGGAGCCATAAGGACCCAACATTATTTCGAGGAGGAGGAGAATGTTGAGGAATTTAAAGTCACATATGATTCTTTTTTTTAATCAGAATCTAAAGTTGGAATTTTCAAAAAAAAGGGGGAGGTGTTATATCCGAGTGGAGATTAAATTACAGGTAACTTCCGAGGACTATTCATGGACTAATATTCTATAAATATTCTTATTGTATAACTACTCAACAATTACACTATGTATATTTATATCCCTCTTATGACAAGCTTTATTTTGGCCTATAATTTATTATTGTACGATTTACGGTTCTTAAGTTATGTTCAGTTTATTAACTACTGCCTCCCACACTCACAGCCACTTTTTGGGCTTATTTGTGTACAAATATTATTTCCTATTTTATGGTACGTTGCGGTCTGTGTGATTGATATATAAACCAAGTATGCCTGAAATAAACGATCTGCTCTGATTCGGAAGCTGGTATCTTGTTCTGGACTCAAGTGGAAGGGCTCGTAGGACATAGGACCAATAAGGACACTAAACTGCCCACACCGGTTGAACGTCATTGGTTGGCCTAGTGTGAAGATTCGTATAAGTCGTATTCGGATTGGTAGATAAGTCGTGTGACAGAAAAACCAGACACCCAAGGTCATAACAATTGGCGACGGGGATTTTAGCAAAAACAAAATAATTGGGAGACGCAAGGTCATAACAAGAAGATTTGGAAGATGTAAAAACCTTTCATATTTGGGCAGCATCATTGATAAACAGGGTGGATCTGATGCAGATGTAAAAGCGTGGATCGGCAAAGCAAGAGCAGCATATTTACAACTGAGGAACATCTGGAACTCAAAACAACATTCAACCAACACCAAGGTCAGGATTTTCAATACAAATGTCAAGACAGTTCTACTGTATGGTGCAGAAACCTGGAGAACTACGAAAGCCATCATCCAGAAAATACAGGTGTTTATTAACAGCTGTCTACGCAAAATACTTCGGATCTGTCGGCCGGACACTATAAGCAACAACCAACTGTGGTAAAGAACAAACCAGATCCCAGCGGAGGAAGAAATTAGGAAGAAGCGCTGGAAGTGGATAGTGCACAAATTGAGGAAAACACCCAACTGCGTCACAAGACAAGTCCTCACATGGAATCCTCAAGATCAGAGGAAAAGAGGAAGACCAAAGAACACAGTACGTCGGTAAATGGAGGTATACATGAGAAAAAGAACAAGAATTGGATGGAACTAGAAAAGAAGGCCCAGGACAGTGTGGGTTGGAGAGTGCTGGTCGGCGGCCTATGCTCCATTGGGAGTAACAGGAGTAGGTAAGTAAGTAAGTAAGTTACTGTATAATTAGTCTGTCGACGTACCCCGTTAATAACAATACACACATAGGAATTTAAATACAGACACTGGCTACTGAATACGAACATTAACAGGCGAAAAGAAATGCATAGGGACGGGAGTGGGTAAAACTGTAAACTCAGTGCGTGTTTGGTGACTGTCTCCGTGACTACGAAATAGTTGCAAGTAGGTATGCAATTAAATTCCTAGCAGTATACACGCATAAAGCATGCTCAGGGTTACACACGAATAGTTGAAATATATATGTATGTGTGAATATAACAACTTAAAAACTGTTTGGAATAATTCGTATGCCAAAACGTAAGATGATTCACGTACGTCTGATAATGTATGAAGTGCTATGGGCTAATGACCTCATAGAAACTTTCAAACCAAGAGACCTCTGTACTTAAAAGGCATCACCCCGAAGCTGACAATGCTGCTATGCCCACCTTCTCAATAGATATCATAGTCTCTCGGAATAAATATAAAGATTGATAACAAAGTGGAGTGATAAATCTGCCTTAGCAACGTGATATCTGTTCATTTTAGAGATCATACAGACCTAGGAAGCACACATCCGCTTGTATGACAAGATACAAAATCCACAGATAAGTACTGAAGCGGCTACAACCAGAGCAGAAGACGGTCAGAATGCTCGTAATCCCAAACATCTGAAACCAATAGCAGTGAATAAATCACTCAAATAAATAACTCTGTAAGTCTCCGACATTGATTCTGATCTCATTATTTTTACAAGATACATCTAGTTGAAGGCGCTCGGCCAATGATCTGCTCAAGATCTTGAGTGGGTACGCAGTGCTACTCATCACTTTCAACCACCATGCAGCTTAAACCAAACGTTCCTCGACATCCGATAGTGATTCAAATAAATCTTATAACCCCTTGATTTCTGACTTCCGATTTGACCGGTTGTCATACTTCCATTATAAATGTGTTATGAACAAGAGTGTTGTCAAACTTTGAATAATGTGATATCTTTATACTTTAACGTAGCTTCACAATGCGAGTGTAAGTAAATCCGTCGGTTTATTCAGGCTTGTTACAAGATATTGAATGTTATAGAAGTTGGTGTGTTTCAATGAAAACTATTTAAAGATTTATTCTTTGGTCCCTCCTACCTAAAGCTTCCTCCCAAGACCTAGATACAAATCTTCGAAAGCGAAGGGTTGTTTGAATCAGAGAGATGTTGTAATACACGGACTTCGATATCCAATATTTATTAGGTTCTTCTATGGCTTGAAGTTATTTAGTGGATGGGGTTGAAGGCGATAATTTTGAAGAAAAGAAAGCAGTACAAAAGTGATGCAACGAATCATTGTGCAGAAACCTTACCTACTTCAGATAATAAAATTATTAGAGAACAGCCAGCAGCAACTCTAAATAAGATTGAATTGATTTAATAATCAAAGCTGCAAGTGAAAAACATAAGCTTCCGAATGTGCTAGGTAAGATAAAATCTCTTACTTTAAAAATTAGTTTCTAATACCAGTCACGAAATCGACAATCCTTTGTCAAAATACCCCCATTTCCATTTACTTGAAGCAATAACGTTAACGATACTTACGATAGAATAGTTTAATATACACTAATTGTTTTTATACTTGACGATTTCTGATTTGTGTTAATTTTCCAAATACATTATCAAATACTTGAGTATGTATGGATGCAATGTGAAGCGAACTCGAAGAAACCAATCGATCTATACACTCCCATAAAGAAAATATTGGCTATAGGACAACACCTTCACTATAGTAACGTTGAGGTTCCCTTTTAAAATGTTACCTTTGAGGTCGTATAATTCTGGTGTTTTATTAGGTAACTGGTGGGAGGAGAGAATATTAGAAAAAGTATGTGTGTTTATGGTAAATGTAATGGATTCAGGAGGAAAGGTCTGCGCGCTTCAGTAAAAATGAGGATAAGGTGTCATCTACACACTTTCTCAGTTTACTCACAGAAAGTAATCCTACTATGGTAGGCTTTATCAGCTGACTATACTACTGAATTAAGATTCAATGCTCAGCGATGCCGTCAGATGGATATTTGCGTTTTGGGTCTAATGTTCAGATATTAAATCCAGGATCATCTCCATATTACATAAAATGTGGACTTGCGCCCACACGCCCACCTTATGCTCTTGGACTTTCGATAGATATCTCATGCAACTTAACTTTGGAACTTTCTAATTCCGATGACAATATTTTTCAGTCGTTGGGAAGAAACGGTCTACTGAGTGTTACCGCATCAAAGAATATACAGCCTTCTGCAAAAAATGTTTTCCGGATATTCTGGTTAGCCAATGAATAGAGTAGTTGATGTCAAAAATTTTTTTCCTAAAGAATAAAACTTCTGTATGTAGATTCTTGGCTATCTATCAAGGAGATGGATTGAAAGTGAAAATATCATCAACCTTTTGCACTACTTTGAGTTAATTGTGTATTTCTTGAATCTGCTAGTTTGTTGTTGCTTCTTGTATATATTTTCAGAAACATACGACCCTGCAGGTTTTAACTTTATCAGGCGTGATTTACAATAGTAGCCAGTGACGCTTTCTTAGTCAACAAAATTCATCTGGGTCACGTTTTTTTTAAGTTTATGGTTTTTAATGCTAGTTCTGCTATCGGAATTCGGTTTTTAAATATACGACCTTAACAGTGTCGTAGTCTAGTTTGATATGGGGCGTGTCTTCAGCACTTATCCTTCTAATTATTATAACAATGATATTCACTGGTGTTACGTATTTTTTTAGGTACACTAAATGAGTGTATTTAAGCAATAGCCCAGCTTAAAATTTTAATAAACGAAGTTTCATGAAATTTGGTTTTGTATGAATGTTAACAATTCAAACAAATAATTTTACCTAATGATATGACACTAATTAGAATCTGTGGAAGAAATTCAATTATTAATTGGACTCCATAATCTATGTTCACATCTACAAAAGCATATGTGAATGATAGTAAGACAGCATCGACTGGTATAAAGTTTTTTTGTTAATAAACTGATGTGATGAGTGGTTTAACAATAACATCAATCGCGAATCAGAAAAAAACGCGACACATTTATTTTATGAGGTTTATTTTCTCAGCATTCATTTTCCTAATCATATAGGTTCGATATTGATTAAAGAAGAGTTTTATCTAATTCTTTGAGAGTTTGAGTCACTGAAAAACGACATAAGCTTCCACAAGTTTGATGTTATCTAAAATAGAATAAAATCATCGGCATTTCAGACTTACCAAAGCCTTATTTGTTTAGATTTCATTTATTTTTTCAATTCATATAGTTTACACGAGAGTCAATATGGTCGAGTAATTCGTTATGGTGAACCATTTGTGTTTGGATTACAGCCGGATATCATCTCATCAAAATGTAATGCTGCACTAAAAAAGAAGTTAAATACAGATCAATGCTTATATTTGGCTAGTGATTTACAACACCTAGGTGATCAAAATTTACAGCCAGGTGCACAAAATCTATACTTCGAAGTTGGGAGACCATCATTTCTGTCTCAGTGGCGTTTAGAGTATGAAGATCCGCACTTACGTAAAGAGTTTGAAGGTAGGCCAGTAAAGGTAAGAATGATAAATTTCTGGTACAAATGAAACATTTTAAAGACATTAGAAAAAATACATATTTCAGAAAAGTGTATTCCCCGACGTTACTGCTTCGCTACAAATAATACGTTCTTGAAGCTTTGGCTAGTTTTATTTTTTTTGAAACTTATAATAATGATATTTTTATGAAAGACTCAGTAGCTCAGTAATTGAGACGTCGTGGTTTTAATATTAAAGGCACTGGGTTTGATTCCAAGTTCAAACATTACTGCGTTTCAGGCACGTACTACTGAATAAACGCTTATCACGAATTCTACTACGAAATCTACCCCATCTATTCAGATTTTATCTGTTGAATTTTTAACTCGGTAGTTTAGTAGCAATGCATTACGTATAACATGTTAAGATTCTAATGTGGTAATTACCCCACTTCGTTACATCAATCTTTCATAAGAGTGAGCTAATTACCAACCTTTTTAGGAGTCAATTTTAATGAGTTTTTACATTTTAATCTCATTTTTGTTAATTAATCCAAACAATTATCTCATTTCACTTGTTTACTCCGCCTTATTCTTTTTTATAATCACTGAATCCGTTCCCTCAATATTATGTGTACACCTTACCAATGAGTTTTAACCAACGAAAATTGTACGTTCAAAGTTCGCTGTTCAGCACTTCAAACCACCTAAAAGCCCAAACAAACATTTGCAAGGATCTGTTTGGTAATCACTAATATGAAAAACGTACATCTAATGTTTTATTTATTTCAGTAAAATAGCGTTATTGCACCGTCGATTAGCAAAAGGCGTATATTTACGATTAATTGTAACCACAGATACCTCGTTGGCGATAATAGCAGTAGTACTTTAGAATAACTGCATACTTAACATGATATCGAATTGTTTATAAAAGCCATTTGAATTTTTATTTTATAACTTCCGATGTTTTGCTTCTTGCTTTTTGTTTTATTTTAGTCTGACCAAAAGTTAATCATCAAACATGTTCGAAGTAATAAAGCATTAGCCTTAGAGCCAGGTTTTACAGCTCGGTGAGTGGAACTTCTGATTTTTGTATAGACTAGATTTTTATTAACTAAGGTGGTGGATCTCACTAATTTTTTATCGTCAAAGTATGTACGGTCGTAGTTTTAACATATCTCTTAGATTTCGACTGAAAGTGAAATTTCACACAGCCGTTGATCATGTTTTTTATAGTTACTTATTAGATAAGTCAATTAAGTAAAGTAACTAGTATTTTTACATTAAGTGCTCCTTTGGAATCCGCACCTATTTTCTAGCAATTTTCGCCCAGCCTTTCTATGCTTATTCAATAAACCTAGTATGCCTCCGTCAATTGATACACATCGGAATTTAAATAAACGTTCTTTAGATAGTTCAATTCATATTACTTCATTCTCTTGATGATAGTGTTTGTTTTTCGTAGTGTGTCCACCGAGTTGCGATTACTGGAATATTGCCTCTTCAGTCCATATAATGTTTAAGAGCAAGTATTTTTTAAAGCGAAATCTCACTGAAGCTAATCGGTACACGTTCGAAAAACAATACAATATTTTCTCTCTTGCCCATGAGCTCATAATTCTACGTGGCCTAAAAGCAGTAGGTCAATTTCCGTACTCAGGTTACTTAAATAGGGATGATTAAATTTATCCTCACGACAATATTAGAAACAATAGTTGACAAAACAGTTTATCCCCTAATCCCGTAATTTTTCAATGGCATTAATTATGTATTTAAAGTTCAAACCATATTCTAGTACGTGAAATATATTATACTATCTACTTCAAACAATCCTAATTCGGACGTTACGATCTCAAACAAATGTATACAGCAAATTGAAAAAACTTTCGTCTAGTTATTGAATTATCAAACATTTTCATAAAACAATCTATGGAGGAAATAGACTCAATATACCTGTACCTTATGAGTTTATCACTTCCATGCCGATGATACTATTTCGAATGATAGTGAATAATTTACCAGACATACTCATAAGTTCAACAACATACATTAGCATACATATAGAGTTGTTCAATTAATTATTAACCATAATTGTCTGATGTCCTCTGTTTATTAGAACACTATTCGGACAAGAAACCTGCTTAAGCGTACGAACATACTATGATTCCCATAAACTGGAGCGTGATGTCAATGTTTGGATGTTAGCAACAGCTAAACAACAAGGTTTATCATGTATTTCAGATGAACAAGCACCACACAAAGTTCTTGAAAATACTTCTTTGGAAAGTGATTATGCAGCAGGATCAAATCTTAGCGATGAAAAACAAGTTCATTTTGAGCAGAATACCAATGCATCTGATGCCTGAATAATAATATAGACTTTTATTATCTTATAGGTGTTTAGTTAACTACTTAGAAGTTTAAAAGTAGTTAAACAGTGACAAACAATTATTCATCAATATGTGTAGGTGAAATTTTACAGTAGAATACCTATCAATTCATCATCCCGTATTAGCTGAAGCATAAAATACAATTCTAATTCATGCACATCAAATCAACTGCTTTTGAAATGTTTACTAATAAATATTTCATAACAATCAAAATAGTGTTATTTATTTTAAAAGATTGTTTTTTTATTTTGATGTAGCTGATAAATATCTATTTGAAATTACATAGTAAATGATAAAGGATAAACACTCATAATACTGTTTAGTGCTAATGCATCGTCAACATTGGAAGAAAAATACAACTCAAGTTAGCTATGAGTTCATATGCTCACTAGTGGCTAATTTCGTGTAGGAATCCAATTAGTCTTAGCGGAAAATAGTGACCAGTGGAGTTCAGTTGAAAGAAGTTAAATCAACTAATTCACCAGCTACATGCTAGTAGGTCACATGATAAATGTAAGGTTTAATAATATTACCAGGTCTATCAAACCGAAGTAAGTATAACTCTGTTAAAATTTGAGACTTAGTGGCTGTAAGTCGAACATCTCAAATTGTAAGTCACCGCTCCACAGAGTTCGACAATCTCGGATGTTAAAGGTTTGCTAACCGAAAACGATAGGAGACGGTTTCACATTAACCCAAACATATGATGTTAGGAAAGCATACCAGTGGATATTGATTGAATAATCGAAATTTAAGGTATTTACCATGAGAGCTGAAGGTGCCGGGTTTAGTCTTAGTTGAACCTGGGAACATGCACTCCTGAAGTGACTCTTACTAGGAAGAAATATCTGTCCAATACCAACTGATTTTCAATGGTTATCTAACTAAAACCATTTAATGATCTCTAAAACATTTGACGATTCTCGTGATACTGATAATTATGTCTGGATTTTGATAACTTGCTTTTTGTGATAAATCTATGGAATAATTCAATAGAAATAACCTACATCTCTAATTCATTCAAGTCAACCACACACACATTGTGATGAGTTGGCAAAACGTAAACAGAAATACTCCAAAAATAATAAAAGCGGTTCGGAAAATGAAATTCTAGAAAATCTGCGTTTTCACTATTTATTATCAGAATGGGTTTTTTTGGATATTTTAGAAGTTTCACTAGTTAGAATCATGAGCCAATTGAAGCTAGACCACCATGCAAAACCTGGAAGCACCAGACGGCCGTTTCGTCCTAGTATGGGACTACTCAGCAGATCGCATCCACGATCTAGTGAGAAGTCGTTACCAGTGGAGTTCAACCAGGTTTTCACTATTTTTTTAAAATGAAAAGTTAAACATTTTACGACAATAACTCACTTATTTTGCTTTCATTTTGGATATCTGTCTATTTTTTTTTCAATGGAGAAATTACAAAAAAACCTTTGACTGTTCAGTTTCATGCTTAACGTGTTTTGTAACTGAGATAATTCTATTCGGATTCATAGGTCAATCCATGAATTTGAATGAAATACTGGGAAGTTGTTATTTATAGGTCGTTTTGAGTCAGAGAAATTGATAAATTGTCATAAAATTGTGATTTATCTATATGAATATACCATGTTTTCCTAGTTTAATAAATCACTTAGAATACAACAAATCTTCAAAGGAATTGGTTACTTAAGAAGTCAGCGAAATAAATGAACAGAAGAATTTCCTTTTAGAAACAATATCTGACATACATCATAACAATACCATGTCTTCAGTATAATAAAATCCTAGAGTCTAGTTCAAATGTAATGGTTTTAAAGAGATGCATAAAAAAGTACTACAAACAGTAACTAGAGAATATATTCATAGATTGAAATCATGAGTCAGTTGAAGCTAGACCACCATTGAAAACCTGGAAGCACTGGACGGCCGTTTCTTCCTAGTATGGGACTCCTCAGCAGTGCACATCCACGATCTCGCACCCCGTGAGACTCGAACCCAGGACCTACTGGCTTCACGCGCACTGATGAGGAGTCTCATACTAGGACGAAACGGCCGTCCAGTGCTTCCAGGTTTTCAATGATGGTCTAGCCTCAACTGACTCATGATTTCAACCTGTGAAAATTTCTGAAATCTCCACAAATCCCTTCTGATAATATATTCATAGTAAATTCTATTAATGTGTTAGACATAAATTAATAATAGGAAGTTGACTAGCCGAATATCTTAACAATGTTGATAATCATCGTTACCTTGGTAAACCTTAAGTCATTCTATGGCCTAGGATAACGCGACAATTTCTTATTCTTTCTCTCCCCTTAGTTATTTTAATTGAATTTTTATTTGTTTGACCCTTAGTATTTTCATATATAAAAATGCCCTGACAAATATATGTGACCAGATTGTTCGAAATGTATAGCTCAAATACATCACATCTTTCAGATCAACTCCGTCTTCTCATTGTTCTATCGAAATCATCGTTACTCTTAGTGTATTCGAAACAGGTCTATAATAATGCTCTTAAAAATGAAATCTGAATATATATGCACTAAGCCATAAATTAATTTAGTTCACTAAAAGAATACTTTCCAATAATTTCATATTCGATGTTGTACAATCATTTATTTTTCTGCATTACGGTTTTCAACTGATTACATGAAGGTTAAAAAATACATTAGTACCATTTAAAATATTGTAAACCTTAAACTGACCAAGGGAATGAAAGTCGGATATTATGAAGACAAATCGATTCATAAATATCTTGAATAGAATAAAAAATAAGCACAATTCAACAAGTTGAAATCATCTAGTTTCACCACATACAAACGTAAAAAGTATTCCTTAGTTAAATAGTCTAGAATAGTTAAAGCTATATGTAGCTAAATCATAGTATCGTTAATTTACAAAGTAGAAAATACAAGACTTGAAAGCAATTCGAAATCAAGTTAATATTCTTTTACTTATACATTTAACTTTATTGGTGTTGTGGAGAATGTTAGTTTTGAATAAGGTGGTGATGTTTTAGAATATTGATTGATTATTTCTGAACATTCTGTTACACAAGGACCATGTGGTTTATTAACAACCAAATTAATATAAACGTAATCGCTCTCGTTTATACTATATATACATAACTAATATCTAGTAATGACGTTACACCACAGAAGAATGTGGATGACTAATTAGACAAGGAAATGATCAGATGAAAGAATTAATCTTTTAAGTTGCTTTTGGACACTAGTCGATGTGAAATTACTAACAGCTGCAAAAAAAGCTCATTTAAGAAAGTTATAAATACTGCTCTTCAAGATGTCTTCATTTTTGTCACATTGGAAACTAATTTTAGAAACCACAGTTTCTATAATCTAAAGTTACCTCACTTCTTTGGGTGTACTCAGTTAATAACTTCATAAGAAAAATAATTATCTTTCTTATTAATTCATTTTGTTATTGACTACATGATATAATTTTTATTCTTATTTTAGTCACCTCCTAGCTTACTTGCAACCTACCTCTTTATTGGCCAACATAGTAAGAATGCTGGGGGGAGCCGAATATTTAATGCTTTCTTCCATTTATCAAAACAGTTAGCTTGAACTTTATTCACTCAATGGACATCTCATAAGTGTTCAGAATATGTTACATTAATTTTTTCTGCATTAATAACAGCAATAAGTGTATGCTTTAAAAATGGATAGAGTATTAAAAGCCAGATTGTGCTTGCCTTTTTCAGTATGGCTTCTTAATGACAATGTTTAAATACAGTATTGTTGAGAAGCATTCAAATAAAATTTCTGTAGACAAACTTAATCCTACATAAGGTAGTTTGCCTAACACATCCTCCTATTTAACTGTAAAAATATAGCAAATATGAAATTTCACATCAGGGAGGGATTTGTTTGAGATGAACATTGAAAAACAGGAAAAAGCGGGCAGTTATTTCGTCCTCATGTCAGACTCATGAAAAATGACCATCCACAACCGCTCCAGAGAGTGAACCCAAGATCAACGATTTTCGAGATAAGCATTTAGTCTTTAGTTCACTGAATTGCTATCCAAATATCTATATGTTAAGTTATTGGAGATAATTGATAGGAAACCCTCAAAGTACGTTACATAATAGTTGCTACTATTCAACACAGCGTACCTACAATTCCGAGGAAACTGGTTTTGAATATGACTCTTATTACTTAAGAGACTAAACAAACGTAAAGTTGACCACTGCTTGAAGCATATCAGTTGCAAATATCTCAGTTTCACAGGAGACCAACTGATTTCCGAATATCTCAGTGCTAACATTCTAGACTGTGAAGCTAGGTTACAAAGGACTGAATTCCAATGAAAGCGTTATTTCCACCAACAATACAGATACATCTTGCTGACGAGTCCCGACTAGCATGAAACACATTCCGTGTGTTTCCTTCTCACTACCTTCAACCGTCTAAAATCTCAACACAATGAGAACGACATCGATTTGCTCAGACTGATAACCACGTTATAACTTGGTCATTCACTAGTAAGGAATAGAAAATCATGGCATAGGTTGGTGATCAATGAGAAATTAGTTTTGATAATTTACATACTGAGCGGTCAATATCCATTGCCATAATTGAAGACAGTCTGTGATGTAAAACTCTGAATTCAGCAGACTCCACATCACAAACTGTTATTCATAAAAAAATTCTACGCTGTGTGTACTTTTGAAAAATCTTCTAAACAGCTTTTATTATTGAATTCAAGAATCCGTAGCTTCGTGTTTCAAAATACCTAACCTCCACTTAGTGGGTTTTGACTTCAAATCTTACTCTGATTACTATTGTTTTGATCAATCGAGTTACATAATTAGTATGGAAAAAGGATGGGTAAATAAGCTAATACTTACTGTAAGCTACGTAACGGTTGACTAAACCGAAAACTTGAATGCCTTTTGATAAGACACGTTCAAATTAAAATTCGCTCGTTTGCTACATCATTACCAACTTCAGTCATAATGCTCTTTAATTATCGATCTAAGAACGAATATATATCAACAATGAAGAAGTTCTGAAAAGCTTTTGCAACATAATGTGTGACATCTGAACAAAGAACACCCTCTATCTTACCACGAAGTTGATCCCAGGACTTTCAGGTTTTAAATTTCAAACCACTGAGTTAACTCCCACTGATTTACATCACTGACAAGTCGACTGAGCCATGTTGGTAGGTGTAGACTTCCTGGTTGGGATCTGCGAGATGATAGCAACCAATGGTTAGAGACCTTGAATGATATGGCTCAAAATCGTTTGTAATGGCGCAGGTGCATCCACACTTT